GTTTGTTTTGTTGTTTTAGCTAAGCTAGTTTGGTAAAAAAACCTGGTGTCTGTTGTTTTAGTATGCTCGGTGAAGAGTTAAGCTATTGTATATGTGATTGAGTGTTTGTGTGTGTGACCTGAGTTTATTATTAGCCGGCATTTATTTTAAGGAATTTGTGATTTAATTACATCTGTATATTGTGCTTTTACCTGTATCTGTCTTTTTGGGTACAATATATGTTAATTGTAAACTACAAGTCTACGTTTTGTCACTCTCCTCTTCTATCTTTTGTCCTAAGGAGAACTGTGCTTAGGCAATCACATGGTTAAAAAACTTTGTACTTGAAAGTCTTCTCCCCTTCCTCACTCCCCCCCTTGCTCTGACTGCTCTGACTATTGGCTACAGGGGGGGAGAATGGGTGATATGCTTGTGAAACTCAGTGAGGAATATGAGGGAAATCTTCTGTTACGGGCAAATGCAAATATTACAAGTTTTAGAATGAAATGTTGTATTTCTTAAACTGTGTACTTTGTCTTTAAGAGATATTGCAAACTGACAAGGTGTTAGAAATGGAACATATTGTTTTTCATAGATGTTTCTTTAAGCAATAACCTCAGTGCATAATATGTTTGCGCCATTTTGTCCCAGACGAATTACAATAACAATAATGCATAAACAAGCTTCAAGGCTATGCTACGACTCTTGCAGTACACAATATACTGTGGTAACCCCAAGTTAATGGAACTTCCCCAAATCCGGGAATCTCCCACGACTGTACACTTACGACTTAGTATAAACAACGGATAACCTATTCAGACTTTAAGATGCCATCTTGAACTAAGTCAGGAAAGTTTCCATGACGTATACACCCTTTAGTTATGGCCTTGTATGTTTGCCAAGTTAAGGGAGGTCCTAAATTGAAGAAAGTAAAAGAAGTGTTACTTTTTCATATTTGAACTACAGTAACCTAAAATGGAGACACCTAAGGTATAAATAGGTGTACTTTTAAATGTTAAGATACAGAGGAGAGACTTGGAGACAGACGCTGATTCATCTTAAAATGACAGAGGCTGACATGATGACATGTTCAGAAGGGTATGTTAACCTATTAATGATATTTGCAAGCATGTAATTTAAATCTTATAAACTCTGCTATAATGGATTTTATATTTTTATATAATAAATATCCAAAAGACAATCTTGCTTCCAAGACAATCCTTATTTTATATTGTATTCTCAATTATTTATATATGTTAAATAGAGGATCTCTTACACTATATAAAATTATGGCTAAGATATCTGTATGGTTAGCCCTACTAAGTTCTATGCTTTAAGACATTATAGTGGTAAATAAGGGAACCACCAGCGGTTACACTTCCAGCTGCTGGCCATTAGCTGCTGAACAAAAAAAAAAAAAAAGAGATTTTTGCTGGACAAATATCCTAGTTAAGAACTTTATGTAATATTGTATATATTGTTAAGTAAGAGGTTACTGGCATATTGGAGTAAGAAAAGCAAACAAGGAAAGTGAGATTTTGTTGTAATTATAAACTAAATGGATGAGAGGGGAATTTGTTGGAATAACTAGGTTGGCATATGGAAAGAGGCTAATGGATGTTGAATAGTAGAAAGAATTGGTTGACTTTTGTATGTTTATTTGAATTGTAACACAATTAATAAAATCAACAACAGGGAATGATTTTGCAGACATTAAAATGTTGGAAAAACTAAATCCATACAATGATGAGGATATTGTTAGTTTTCTTGTAAAATTTGAAAGTGCGACTTGTTGCTAATTTCCCTGAAGATCAGTTAATTAATGAATTTGTGAAAACATTTCAAGATCTAGATCCAACTGCAATTGTAATTGCTAGAGAAAAAATACTTTGAAGGAAGTTGCTTTATTCTTAGATAAAGTAAGGAGGTATCCAGAAATGAAGGAGTTACACTGACTTGTGAGAGGCATAGAGAGGAGTGCAGATTTGACCCCCTCCTTTTTTTTCCCTAGGACTCAGTGTGAAAGAGCGATACAGACACCTGAGCCACTCCCAATTGTCTGAACTATAAACTGCAGAGTTAACACTCAAAGGCAGACTATAACTACTAAAGTTATTTGTGTTTGGTGCAATAACCAACATTATTTAAGATCTTGCAGATATTTGATTCCAGAGTTAAAACCAGCACAAGAATAGAGATCTATGTTTGTTTGTTGTTTTACTAAATTGTTAGTCTGTACTGTTTTTTCATTGTTTTTATGTATGTTATAGGAAAGTACTAGGTTAATTAATTAAAATAAATTTACATTAAAGGACCACTATAGTGCTAGGAAAACATACCCGTTTTCCTGGCACTATAGTGCCCTGAGGGTGCCCCCACCCTCAGGGTCCCCCTCCCGCCGGGCTGGATGGAGAAGAAGGGGTTAAACTTACCTCTTTTTCCAGCATCGGGCAGGGAACTCTCCTCCTCCTCTCCTCCCTCTTCTCCTCCTCTTCGGCTGAATACACATGCGCAGCAGGAGCCGCGCGCGAATTCAGCCGGTCCATAGGAAAGCATTCTCAATGTTTTCCTATGGATGCTGGCGTCTTCTCACTGTGAAAATCACAGTGAGACGCACGCAAGCGCCTCTAGCGGCTGTCAAGAGACAGCCACTGGAGGCTGGATTAACCCTAACATAAACATAGCAGTGAGAAGCACGCAAGCGCCTCTAGCAGCTGTCAGTGAGACAGCCACTAGAGGCTGGATTAACTCCAATATAAAAATGAAACTGCTATGTTTATAGAAAAAAGGGTTAACCCTAGCTGGACCTGGCACCCAGACAACTTCATTAAGCTGAAGTGGTCTGGGTGCCTATAGTGGTCCTTTAAGGCTGCAAGTGTCTCAGAATGAAATACACTAATGTAGCAGTTGTTAGGAACATGCAATGTATGTTATATTGGGTGTACGCGATTATACAGTAACTGCAATCCTTTTTACGGAAGGAAAACCTTGTTACTTCTGGGGTTGAATTAAAATCTTTGAGATGAGAATGAGATTTTAATATCATGACCGATAATGGATTACTGTATATTGCAACGCCTGGACATACACAAAAGGAATAATATATGAGAGTGGATAAGGCAGATTTACCACTATCCACAGCCACGCCTACTCCTAACGTAACATCACTTCCACCCTTACTATGCCCTTTTACTGTAGAATTGCCTGAATCCTAATGACCCATTCCACTACATGGTGTGACTTGTTTAAGCCTAAGATAAATTGGCTGATCAGGCTACCTGTATTAATAATGTCATCCACGATGAGTTAGAATCTGTGGAAAAGTATCACTTCAGGTTGTCCCCAATTTTCCTCTGACTTAGGTTTTAGTACATAATAAGGCCCATACCCAACGGCTATATGCGGCCTTGTATAGCAGGCCATATGGAATCTATTTGTAGCAAGCAAAGCCTGCCTGACTCCTCATTCCTGTCTAATATTGTTGTCTCCTGCATAAGTGTAGATGGCTCTCCTTGGAGTAGCCTGTTAACTAAGCCTTGCTTTGTGGTTACCTCTACCTGTCCAATCAATCTGCTAGGTGCAGATGTCCTTCCCTCACTTGCAGGCCTCTATCACCTTTATGCCTGATGGCCAGATTCATATGTCTGCACCACTCTCTGCTGCTGATAAAAAAGCCCTCTGCTTATTATTTCTTCTGCTCCACACAGTGAAACCTGACCAGGAGGCAAGGGTTCTAGCTAGTTCCCCCAATACCTTTACCTGAATTATACAGGCCCCGAAGATTTTGTACACCTCCATGTTTCCCCCCGCCCCCATAGTTCCTGTGAAGTTGCTCCCAGGGGCTAGCCTGTCCCTTAAGCCATAGTACCCCCCCACCCCCCAAAGCCTGTCCAAGCTCTTGCTATTCCCTAACAGGTTAAGGCTCTGGTGTCGAATGGTGCCCTGGTTCCCTGAGACTCTCCCTGCAATATCCCACTTCTCCTTGTAATAGACGAATTCTGTGCAGGATACTGTCACCCTGCAGAGATGATACTCTATTACCTGGCCACTCTTCTGCCACTTCCCAGGGGGGAAATGATAAGACACTGACTCTATTATTTTTAGCCTTTTCCTCATTGCATCTTGTGGTTCAGAAATATACCAGGACCTGAACCTCATTATGAAGAAGACCTGTTCCAGTTGGTGGAGATGCAACTCACCATAACAGATCTGTTCCGATTTTTGCTGTCACTACAGTGGATCAAGTATCTCACCTCAACAATGTCTGCACAGGAAGCTGAGCTATAGGCTCTCACCACAGCATGCAAGATCTCTGAAGGAAGACACGCCAATATCTACTCTGCCACAAGGTATGCACTAGGTGTGGCACATGACTTCGGAATGACTTCTGGAAGTAAGAAGATTTCTTACAGCAACTGGCACGCCAGTTAAGTACAGCACGGCTAAAAATAGCTGATGGATGCCCTACACCTTCCTGAAAAAGTGGCCGTACTGAAGATAAAGACTCACGGAAGACTGAACTCAGAGGAAGCATATGGCAACTATCTGGCTGACCAAGTTGTCCAATAAGTTGTAAGTGCACTAAGGGAAGTGGACAGAAGAGTGTCTGCTGAAGAAACTCCCATATTCACCATGTAAGATCCTACCCACAGACCTCAAGCTCCTGAAGGAATAACAAGCAGCTACTGACCCAGAAAAAACACAAGCTGGAAACAGAACGGGCTGTACTTCAACAATCTCAAGTTCTGCTTACCCAAGAACATATACTCAGCAGCGGTCCAGTGGGCCTACGGAGCATCTGTCCAGAACCCTCATGAACTCTTTTGATCAATAAATACTCTGAAGTACCAGGAATTGCCTCTCTGACCAACAGTTACTGTAGATCTTGTGCCATTTGTGCCAAGGGCAACTCAAGAAGAATGGAGGAAAGCCCCAAGCATCTAGCCAAACCTCATTATCTCTTCCAGAGGAGTCAAGTTGACTACATCCAGAATGCCAAAGAGTGGCTGGTTCAAATATGCACTAATTATAGCAGACATGTTTTCAGGATGGCCAGAGGCCTATCCAGCCACCAAAGTGATAACCAAGACCACATGCTGAGTAGTGCACCGTGAAAGTTACAGAGATCACCCCGTGGATTCATCATTCCAGAATCAAGCCTGCCTCTGCATCATGTGAAGTAGCATTTGTTGATCTTGACAACCCTTTTTGAAACTCCATTCTTAGAGAACAAAGATACTTGTTGAAAAAATAAATAAATATCAACAAGTGGGTGTTTTGATGGCCATAATAATGCCTGACCACCTGCCATTGATGGAAAGCCGAATACCCCAAAAGGGGACCTCGTGAAACTAAAGAGAAACAGACATACTCCTTACCCTGCAGCCCTCACGTCTGAGGTGCCTACGCACAGTCGAAGCTTCTTCAGGATCATCTGCTTATCTTGAGTTTGTGGTGATATTAATATTTAATTTTTAAATGACCTGAGTCTGCCAGTACTAGGGTAGCATGAGACAAGATTTATAAGATTAAGAATAAGTAAATGTGCCGTAGCCAAGGTTATTATGTCCATACACATAATACATGACAATCACCAAGGTACTCTTGACACACCACATTCATGCTTCAGGACAAAAAGGAGCACCCCTATAAAGGGCGGTTTTACCCACATATATATATTAATGTCATAGGGGTGTCAAGGGGGGTACCAAAATGATTTTAAGGTAAGAAACTAAGTTTGAATCTATTCTCCCAAGCATTACAGCTAATAAAATCTGAATTGGAAGGGAGGAGGTTCATACAATAAACAGGAGACCTTTTACTTATGGGACATGTAGGACTCACCTGAATGGGTAGGTGCCACGCACATGACTGTTAATCCCCTCAAACCACACATTAAGACTTTAAAAGACATGGTAATCATCCCATATTTGAAGATACTATTGCTGTAGAGACAGGTTTCTCTGACATTAACTTGTGGCTTGAATGGATGAAATACAATGCTACTAAACATAACAAGTCTAACTGCTATGTCTGCGGAGGAGTGAGGCCTTACCCAGGTACTGTATCCATGAACCTTCCTCCGGATATGAAGTATGCTTTTTAAGTCTCTACACTATATTTAAACCTAATCAGTCAGCATGCGAGTCATGGAAAAAGAATACCCAATCATTACTAAAAATATTAACCCAGATGAAGGCATTACTTGTTATGGGATATATGGTGAGATAGGGCGGTTACAAGCTACCTCCCAGATGACCTTCCAGAATAGAATGGCCTTAGACATGATTCTGGCAGAGAAAGGGGGAGTATGTAAAATACTCCCAGACACCATGACATGCTGTACCTATATCCCAGATAAATACAGGCCCTAATGGTATCGTAACATTGGCAATAGAAAAAGAGTTTGTCCAATGAGCTGAAACGAAATTCTGGGGCCACGGATCCATGGGAAAGATGGTTTGGATGGATGTCCGAATGGCAAGGTGCTCTGGCCCAAATAGGTGTTGCCATTTTAATAACGATAATCATCCTCGCTCTTCTTGTTTGTTGTGTGTTACCCTGTCTTAAGAAATGCCTACAAAAGACAGTTGACAATCGACCAGACCACCCAGACCTTCCTTCACCAAGAGATTGACGACATAGACCGTGATACACCACATACACCCTTACAGTCCCACCACACTACATCAACAGCTACTTCCTCTTTAGGACATTCAGGGATAGCGTCTGTCTCTACGGGCAGAAGTCTGTCGCAGGAGAAGTAGTGGACAAGCTGCTACAGGTCACCCGCGCAGTGAAGCGTTCGAGGCCTGTTCAGACAGATGTGCAAGATAGCCTTTTTGTTATATTTCTATAGGGACAGTATTAGAGTTAGAGATAGTAGTTGTTAGTAAAATAGTCATTTTAAGGGGGGACTGTTATGGCCAAAATACTTGAAAGGATAAAATGTCTTTTTTACTCTGTACATGTGTGCTCAGTAACTATTTCCTCTGTAAATTCCTCACAACCAGCTACCCTCCCCCCTTCCCATCGAGCAAGCTTCGTGTAACAAATTCCTGTGTTAAAAGAACTGCTTCCTTTACTAACTCCTCCCCCACTTCCTTTGTGCGAACTAACAGCTATGTGCCACATGTAACAAAATGGAGAATCGCTGTTAAAGTAACTGTTTCCCCTTCAGCCCCTCTCTGTTCAGTAACTACTCACTCTCCCTCCCATCGTGTAATCAAGACGGAGCTGGAATGTGGGTGGGAGAACGCTGTAATGATGACATTACATCCTGTAGGGTGGGTTTAGACAAGACCCCTTAGACTGTTAACCAATTGTTGAATGTATACTGTATGTTAACTGTGACTCTGTACATGTATTTCTCTGACGTATTTCTGCTTTAAAAGGGCATCGTACCCCCTGCAATAAAGGCCACTCTGGAGTTCTTCACAAACCTGCAATGTGTCCAGTGTGATTTCTTCTAGAAGACATGCACATAATCAGTTTGGAAGGAGTAGATAGACAATTAATCAAAGTTTGCTTTGATCTAAATCACCACCATATATGTATATAACTTTCCACTGCTTTCATACATCTCCAACACAAATTTGAAACACTAGGATTCATTTTATTTAATCTTGTTGGCACTAAATACCACCTGTTACATATTTTATAGTACGTTTCAATCAATATTATGTTTTGAATGTTTTTCTTTGTTCTAACTAGTTTTTCATCCCATACACAGATATCGATTATATTATTTACATCTTTGATGTTTTTTTCTCTCCACAGATCTAGTTTTAAATCATCTGTAAGAGATTCCAATATCTCCAACTCCATAAATCCATATATCTTTCCAGTGTTCTTTCATCTTTTTGCTTATTTTATACCATACTGGAAAAATATGGGTTAAAATTATATTTTTTACTTTCTTTCAATACCAGATATCCTTTACTCTGCCAAACAAGTTTACTTAGATCAATCTTATTCAGTGACTGGGTTTCCAAGATGAACCATCCTGCTTCTTTTACTTCTTTTTTTGTTAGTATCTGAATATGGCGTATTATACTAGCTTCATAGTGTTTTTTAATATTGGGGAAGTTCATACTTCCCTGCCCCAAGCTGTTAGTCAAGTGTTCTAGGTTAATATGTAGTCTTTTCCCTCTCCATACAAAGTTTCTAAAACTTCTCTGTATGATCTCTAGCCAGCTGACAGGTACCTTCAATGGGATCATTTAAAAAAAAAAAATAACTTTATTTGGGAATTATATAAGCATTTATAATATTAATTCTTCCCAGCCAGCTCAGTAGCCGAGTATTAAATTTTTTTTAGAGTTAAACTTGTTGATCTAATCAATTTCAGGAAAGTATCTTCTATTATTCTATTTGTTTTATCTGACAACAGTATACCCAAATATTTCAAAACTTTAACGTCTTTAAAGCCGTATACATCTAAGATTAGTTTTTTTTTTTATCAGCATCACAATTTTTAAACATAACCACAGATTTATCTATGTTTATCTTATAGTTAGATATTTCACTATATTGCGTTATCTCATCCATCGGATGAGCAACGGAAACCATTGGATCGGTCATGGTCATTATTGTGTCGTCAGCATACATACATAGTTTCAGTTCTTTAGAGGCTGCTGGGATCTCCTTAATACCAGGATTTATCCTTATTCTTATTGCTATAGACTCCATAGATAGTGTATATATAGTATTGGTTAGAGCGGGCATCCTTGACGGGTGCTCAGAACCCTTTTCCACATTCTCATTAAAAGCATTTAATAAATGTTCCGATAATATATCCTTGTAAATCCTTTAAAATCTGTTAGTCAGACCATCTGGGCCGGGGGTTTTAAAATTTTCCAATGGCCTGTTTAAATTCTACCTTAGTAAGAGGAACATTGATAATATAATTTTGTTCCTGAGTTAATTTAGAAAATATATATCTTTTTAAATATTTGGACATTTTATATCCCTCAGGTTGTTTCTTTATATTATATAATTCTTCATAATACGTTAGAAATTTTTTTGCTATAGTTTCTGGATTTCTGTGTATTATGTGATCTTTTTTGATACTTGCTATCCTATTTTTCCCTGATTTCCTTTTAAGTTTATTAGTTAACCATTTTGTTATTTTGTTATCATGGTAAAAAATCACTTTCGTTTTCTCTAGATATTTATTAATGCGTTCCATTTCTATTTCGTTAATTATATCTTTAAGATCATTTAATTGTTTTATCGTTTCGCTGGTTAAATGTTTTTTATTATTTTTAGATAGCTTATAGTAGTCTATATATAGCTCTTCCCTCGAAGCTCCTTTTTCTTTTTGAATTTTACTTTTAAATTTCATCAAGTAACCTTTTACTACAGCTTTAAAGGCACACCAGATCATTGCAAAAGACATTACTTCCGTTTTGTTTTCTTTAAAGTACAGTTCTATTAAATGCCTGATATAATTTTGATCTTCCATTTTGGGAAGGATATTATCGTCCAGGCGCCACGTGTTAGAAGGTTTATATTTTCTTTTTTCCTTTATATTGAACATGGATTGTCCTTTATTAGAATTTTCTGGATAAGTTCTACTAAACTATTCTATCCCAAAACCAGATCAATTCTAGATAATGAATAAAGTACTCTAGAATGGTGTGTTAATTTGTTTTGTTCTGCATGATAGACTTTCCATATATCCAACAAATTATTATCTTTCATAATATTTCTTAGAATGCTAGATTGTTTCTTTAATGGATTACTTGTTTTTCTGTTATCTTTAGTTTTTTTTTTATCGAATACCATATGTGGGACACAATTAAAGTCCCCTGTAATAACTAACAATCCCATTTTGACTTTTTCTACTCTATCCATTATCTTTTTTAAATACTGTGTTGGTAATACATTTGGCAGATAAAGATTTACAAAATAATTTTTTACCGAGTTTATATTACAAACTAGGATCTGGTATCTTCCTTCATTATCTACCTCTGAATATATTATCTCTTTATTAAGCTTTTTTGAGAAAATAATAGCCACTCCTCTTTTTTTTTGTCCTCTCTAAAGATGCATGTATAACTTCTTCGTACATCTCATATCTCCATCTAATTTTCTCTTCCCTTTTCCAGTGAGTCTCTTGTATCATGGCTATATCTATTTGTTCCTTTCAGAGTAGTTTATATAGAAGCTTCCTTTTAAATGGGGTATTCAAAGCCTATATATTCATAGAGATGCCCTTCAGAATTTTATCCTTATCATTTACTCCTCATCCCAATCTCAATTTTAAACATAGAAACATAGAATGTGATGGCAGATAGGAACCATTCCGCCCATCTAGTCTGCCCAATATTTCGAAATACTTTTATTTAGTCCCTGGCCTTATCTTAAGTCTAGGATAGCCTTATGCCTATCCCACGCATGCTTAAACTCCCTCACTGTGTTAACCTCTACCACTTCAGCTGGAAGGCTATTCCTTGCACCCACTACCCTCTCAGTAAAGTAATACTTCCTGATATTATTTTTAAACCTCTGCCCCTCTAATTTAAGATTATGTCCTCTTGTTGTGGTAGTTTTTCTTCTATACTTAGTCTCCTCCTTTACTGTGTTTATTCCCTTTATATATTTAAATGTTTCTATCATATCCCCTGTGTCTTGTCTTTCCTCCAAGCTATTCATGTTAAGATCCGTTAACCGTTCCTGATAAATTTTATCCTGCAATCCATGAACCAGTTTAGTAGCCCTTCTCTGAACTCTCTCTAAAGTATCAATATCCTTCTGGAGATACAGTCTCCAGCACTGCGTACAATACTCCAAATGAGGTCTCACCAGTGTTCTGTACCATGAGCACTTCCATCTTTCTACTGCGAATACCTCTCCCTATACAACGAAGCATTCTGCTAGCATTTCCTGCTGCTCTATTAGATTGTCTGCCTACCTTTAACTCCTCAGAAATAATCACCCCTAAATGTTGAGGTTAGGACTCTATCAAACATTCTGTACTCTGCCCTTGGGTTTTTACATCCAAGATGCATTATTTTGCATTTATCCACATTAAATGTCAGTTGCCACAACTCTGACCATTTGTCTAGTTTACCTAAATCATTTGCCATTTGGCTTATCCCTCCTGGAACATCAACCCTGTTACATATTTTTGTATCATCAGCAAAAAGACATACCTTACCATCACGACCTTCTGCAATATCACTAATAAAAAAATCCAAGGAGAATGGGTCCAAGTACAGATCCCTGAGGTACCCCACTGGTGACAAGCCCATGCTTTGAATATACTCCATTGACTACAACCCTCTGTTGCCTGTCACTCAGTTACTGCCTTACCCATTCAACAATATTGGAATCCAAACGTAAAGATTGCAGTTTTTTGATAAGCCTTCTATGTGCAACAGTGTCAAAAGCCTTACTGAAATCTAGGTAAGCAATGTCTACAGCACCACCCTGATCTATTAATTTAGTTACCCAATCAAAAAAAATCAATAAGATTAGTTTGTCATGATCTCCCTTAAGTAAACCAATGTTGTATCTGATCTTGAAATCCAAGTGATTTTAGATGTTCAGCAATCCTATCCTTTAACATGGTTTCCATTACTTTCCCCACTACTGAAGTAAGGCTTACTGGCCTATAGTTGCCCGACTCCTCCCTACTACCTTTCTTGTGAATGGGCACAACATTCACTAACTTCCAATCTTCTGGGACTAGCCCTGTTAACAATGATTGGTTAAATAAATCTGTTAATGGTTTTGCAAGTACACCACTAAGCTCTTTTAATAACTTTGTGTGTATTCCATCAGGTCCCATTGACTTATTTGTCTTTAATTTGACAGTTGAAATAGAACATCTTCCTCTGTAAACTCACATGTAACAAATGACTCATTTGTCCTTTTTCTTAACTGAGGCCCCTTTCCTTCATTTTCATCTGTAAATACTGAACAAAAATATTCATTGACGCAGTCAGCTAGACCTTTATCCTCTACTACATACCTTCCTTCTTTTGTTTTTAATCTAACTAATCCTTGTTTTACTTTCCTTTTCTCATTTATGTATGTAAATAATGATTTGTCCCCTTTTTTTACTGACTGTGCTATTTTCTCTTGTGTGTGTGATTTGGAAGCTCTTATAACTTGCTTAGCCTCTTTCTGTCTAATCTTATCTTCCTCACTCTGTTTTTTTTTTTTAAATTACTAAATGCTAACTTTTAGTTTTTTACTATTTTGGCCACATCTGCAGAGAACCACAGTGTTTTCTTTAATTTTTTGCTTTTATTGACCAGCCTAATGCAATTTTCTGTTGCCTTCAGCAGTGCAACTTTTAAATAATCCCATTTCTATAGGACTCCATTTAAATTGCTCCAGTCTGATAATGACTCGTTTACACATACTCTAATTTTAGAAAAGTCTGTTTTTCTAAAGTCTAAAACTTTTGTTTTTGTGTGGTGTGACTCAGTCACTGTTCTTATATTAAACCACACTGACTGATGATCACTGGATCCTAAACTTTCACCTAGAGTAATATCTGATACCAAAATCTCCATTTGTTAAAACTAAATCTAGTATGGCCTCTTTTACGAGTTAGCTCGAATGCGTACTAATAAATGTGCCTTTCGTTCATTCATATCACTATTTTGGCTTTTTGAATTACAGATAGGCAGTATTGTAATGTATTGCAATGCAAACTGACAAACGAGCAACGTTCGTGAACCGAACGGACAAATCATTCGTTCATTCGTGCTTTTTCAATGCATTGCTTTACATGGGGATGGTAGAAACGAATGAACTAATTTGCCTCAATTTGTGTATTAGTTCATTTGGATGCCTTGTATGAAACAAATAGGAGGGGTATGGGAGTGAACTGATTCTCAGCTCACTCCTGTAACATGATGCTGTAGGGGCATATCCAATGGTGAGTGCTTTAGTTGGGATTTAAAAAATAACTAAACAGCAGTATAAAAGCAGGAAGAGGATATTTCTCCGCCCTTCTTTGACTGAGTTTTGTTGGTGACACACTGTGCTTCTGTGCTGTGTTAGCCTCATTACTTGTCTTAGATATTTTCTGTGAGTCTTGGTGTGCCTGCCATTTCTCACTTGTTGAATTTGAGACTATTCCTGAAACTTTTTTATTTTTTTTATTTTAGTACATTCTGAGAGCTGTGCACTGCTGTGCTGCTGACTGAGTCAGTGTGCCACACTGTGTCTGGCTGGCCTTTCCTGCTTGCTTACTTTTTTAATTCTGCTTTTTTATTTAATCAAAATTAATTAGCTTAAATTGATTTAGATTTAGAGTAAAGGTAGAATCAGTCAAGTACTTTAGTTTAGTGGGCCTGAGGGCTTCTGCCCTAAGGGTAGACTCGCTTGTTAGCCTAAAAGAAAATAAATATAGTTTAGCTGTTAAGTCTTTTTAGCATCAAAGCAATATTAGTTGATTTTTGTTAGACAACATTGATTTTACAGAGGTGCTGCTGTTGCTGCAGTGCTGTTTCATTCTGAATGCTGATAGAGAATATAAATTTTCTGTCAGTCTCGGCTGAGTGTGTTTGACTGGGTTTGAAATTTTTTTTTTTAATTGAATCTATACTCCAGTCCACACAGAGTTAGTTTAATTTATGCTAGTAAAACAACTACTAGCACAGAGTCACAGTGACTGACCGACTGATTTTTGTGTCACTGACTCACTGACTGTGTTTGCTTGCTTTGCAGGCAGTCAGTGTAAAAGTTAAATAATATTTTTTATTTAGTTAATATAATTATCTTCAGTTTTAATTAAAACATTTTTATTAAGTTGATATAAATATCTTCAGTTTAAAATATATATTTGTTGTAGTACAGTTTATTTGTGCTTTGTTAGAACAGAACACACTAGTCAGTCAAACAGTCTATTTTTTGTTTTACATTTTTCACACTTTTAGTGTCATTTTTTGTGTGCTCACATCAGCATCAGCAGTGAAGTTAACTGTTCTGACTGCTGTTGTGAAGAAATTACTTTTCATTAACTGATTTTTAGTTCAGTTAGTGTGTTTGTCTAACAGCAACCAGTGAAGCTAAATGGTTTCTGTTTTTATTTGGTTTATTTTAGTTCCTGATAGATTGACTGTGTGACTGTCCTAAGCTAAGCTTCAAGATAGATGTAGTACATCTTTTATTATTTTTAGTATTAGTAGCTGTTTTAAGTTATTTCTAATTTAGATAACTTCTAATTCTAGTTAACCCATTTTTAAAAAAACACTTTAACTTTTTCTAATAATAATACATTTTTTCATACTCTGTTTGCAGTAGTCGAGCAGGGAGCACTTGTTGGCAGACTGCTCATGGCAGACAGTGCAGTTTTGCATAGTTTCTCAGAAAGCACTAGAGTGAAGAAATCTGCATCAGTACTGGTCTCTTTATTTTCTTCAACGTCTTTTCTTTTCTTTCCTTTTCTTTTCTTACTATTTTAATATTTGAATTTGATCCTCCTAAACTTTCATCCACTAGTAAATTGAGGGAGGGTCAGTTAGCCACCACCACCAATACCACCACTGCCACCACCACAAGTAGTGGTAGTTTGAGTACGCAGCCTATGCGTCAACTTGAGCGGTTAAGGAGTGCCGCTATGTCAGACTCACCGCCTAGGAGGCCAAAGTTTTTGTCTCGCATTTCAGGCCCGTTGGTGCAAGATCCTGGTCAAGGAAAGGCACCAATAGCAGGCAGGAGTGCAGCAAGTCTTTTCTATGGTAAAGGGAAACCAGCAGGGCTTTTTAGGGTGAGCACTATGGCTAGTACTACTACTAAAAACACAACTAGTAGTAGGAATAGCCCAATAAGTAAGAGGAAGTGTGTTTTGCCCCCAGCGTCTTCCTCTACCACAAGCAGGGCCGGCCTTAGGCAATTAGGCGCCCTGTGCAAAAAGTCTTCACGGCGCCCCCCCCACCTCCCACCAAGTTGCCTGAATACAGTAACACACACAGGCACCGGGGACGTGTGTATCACGAGGCAAACAAGGCATCTGCCTTGGGCGCCACTTTGCAGGGGGCGGCAAAAAAAAGCATCCCTCCAAACCCCCAGGCAGATCCCTTGCTTGCCTCGCATCCTGGGGGGCTCAAGAGCTGACCGGCTGGCCACTTTTGAGCCCCCCCAAGGCTGGCAGCGGGCAGCGAAGGAGCATACTCACCTGAGCTCTTCCTGCTCAGCTTCCTCTGCGCCGCTTAATGAAGCCGGGAGCCAGAATATGGCGTCAGTCCGGCTCCCGGCATCACTAAGCGCTGCTTACTCAGCCTGTGCGCCCCCTGCCTGCCTGCCCAGCAGCCACACTGGACTGCTGGTAAGAAATCCACTCCAGCTTTCCCAGGGAGGCTGGGTGGATTTAAAATAAATGTAAAAAATATTAGTTTGTGAGTGTTAGTGGAAATGTCTGTGTGTGTGTCTGTGAGTGTTTATTTTGAAGTGAATGTGTGTGTGTGTGTCTGTAAGTGTGTAATTGTGTGTGTCTGTAAGTGAATGTGTGTGTGTCTGTGAGTGAATGTGTGTGTTGGTCAGTGAGTGTATATGTGTCAGTCAGTGAGTGTGTATGTGTCGTCAGTGAGTGTGTATGTGTCGTCAGTGAGTGTGTGTCGGTCAGTGAGTGTGTAGGTCAGTGAGTGTGTAGGTCAGTGAGTGTGTATGTGTCGGTCAGTGAGTGTGTGTCGGTCAGTGAGTGTGTGTCAGTCAGTGTGTATGTGTCGGTCAGTGGAGTCGTGCATCTTTCAGTGAGTGCTTGCGTCTGTCAGTGAGAGTGTGCATCTGTCAGTGTGTGTCCAAGTAATAGTGTATGTGTGTATGTCATTGTTTGTCAGTGTATATGAGAGTGTGTCTGTCAGTGAGTGTGCGTCTGTCAGTGAGTGAGCGTCTGTCAGTCAAAGTGCGGCCTTGACAGGAAGGGGTGGGGGAAATTTAAACTCGGTTACAGGCATGTACACACACACTCAGTTAAAGGCAGTCACACATACAGGCACAGGCACAAACAATGGCACAGCTACAGCGACACACACAGACAGACAGTCACATAGGCAGTCACACACACAGACAGACACACAGTAACACACACATAGACAGTTATACACACACAGGCAGGCAGTCACACAGATAGAAAGTCACACACACAGGCAGGCAGTCACACACAGACAGATAGTTACAGACAGACACACACAGGCAGGCAGTCACATACAGGCAGTCACACACACAGGCAGTCACACACACAGACAGACAGTCACACACACAGACAGTCACACACACAGACAGTCACACACACAGGCAGGCAGTCACACACAGACAGATAGTTACAGACAGACACACACAGGCAGGCAGTCACATACAGGCAGTCACACACACAGGCAGACAGTCACACACACAGACAGTCACACACAGGCAGGCAGTCACACACAGAGACAGTCACACACAGAGACAGACAGTCACACACACACACACACACAAGGACAGGCAGTCACACAGACAGTCACATACACACACACACAGACAGTCACACGCACACAGGCAGGCAGTCACACAGACAGACAGACAGTCACACAAACAGGCAAACAGTCACACACACACAGACAGTCACACAAACAGGCAAACAGTCACACACACACACTTACCTCTTTCCAGTGGATGCAGTTGGCTGATGGGGAAGCATCTTTCCCTCTTCCTGTACAGCAGGGGCTTCGGGAGGTATTAGCCCCGTCTCCGCCTCTCGATAAGCCCCGCCTCCGCCGCTCGGTAAACCCCGCCCCCTCTGCCGCGATTTTTTTTTTTTTTTAAATAGACCTGGGTGGAGAATAATTAATCCTCCAGCCAGGTACCTCTTTTAGCTCCCCTGCACTCCGGCCATGAGTGAGCTGTGTCGGCCACAGGGCGCCCCCTGTTCCATGGCGCCCTGTGCGGTCGCACAGCTCGCACACCCCTAAGGCCGGCCCTGACCACAAGCAGGCCTGTGAGTCGTGTTGCTAAGAAGCTTCCTTCCTAATCCCCCTCCCAAAACCACCACTTCCACCACCACCACCAGTGCTGCGCCTGCTTCTACCACTGACATCAGCACATCAGCACATCAGCACATCAGCACAGGAGTTGTTGCCAATGCTATCCCGTGCTCCTAGTCCTATTATTCCTGGAGGTGATATCAGTCTTACCCCAGTAAAGGAGTTTAAGCATGCGTGGGATAGGCATAAGGCTATCCTAACTATAAGATAAGGCTAGGGAGTAAAGAAAGTATTTCGAAAATTGGGCAGGCTAGATGGTCCTAATGGTTCTTATCTGCCATCACATTCTATGTTTCTATGTTACCCCCAGCCTTGCAGGGATTGCATTTAGTCTGGCTGATGATGAGCCTGAGAGTGAGGAGGAAATAGTAGAGGAGAGTCAGAATTCTTCAGGGAGCAGTCCACCCTTTTCTCCCCTTCCTCTCCACTTTCTCCAATAGTAGCACCTGCTAGTGCTAGTTCAACAATTAGCAAACCACCACCACCACCATCACAATCAATTATTACCACTACTATTTCCAGGTCCACTGTTCCTCCTCGCAGTGGCACAGGTACCACCACCAGTGTAACTGTGCCAACAATCACCACCACCACTGGTTCTACTAGCCACAGTATCAGGGCCGGAGATGGGTGCTTTGCAAAGTGCAAACTTTGTGGGAAGGAAGTTAGCAGGGGGAGAGTGTTGGGTCATCTCACCAGGGCCGGGATGAACCATCACCTTTGCAGCCATCACAAGGCTGTGTTATTGAGGCAAGAGGCAGAAAGTACTAGGGCAGGCAGCATAGCTGCTAGTATTACAATGACCAGTACCATGGCAGCTGGGAGTGACAGGGGAAGTGTTGCAGAGCCAAGCGCTACTGGTGCTGTCAGCCAACAACCAAGGCTGGTTGGAGCATCACAATGTGTCCAGCCCACCCTGGAAGAATTTGGGGGATTCCAATCCAGGGCTATGTCTAAACAGCAGGCCAATAAGATCATGCGACTTATTGGCCAGTTAATTGCTGTTGGTGGTGCTTCCTTTTCAATGATAGAAGGGGAGCCCTTCAAACAGTTGATGGAGGCTGTGGCTCCACAATGCCATCTTCCTTCTCTCGGTCCTGTGTTGGAGTATTGAAAAGGGAGCTTTCGAAAGCTGCTGGTCAGTCTGTGCATTTTACCACAGATTTGTGGAGTGCACCAAGTGGCCAGCATGCCTTTCTTTCCCTGACAGCACTGGTGTGTCTCAGGAAGCTGCTGTTGCAACTTCAACAGCAGCAGCAGCAGCAGCAGTGTCTAGCAGAAAGGGAGGAAGTATCTGTAGATCAGCTGGGCTATAGATCTTTCCTTCTCCATGCTGAAGTGATGGATGAAAAACACACTTCAGATAACATTCTGCAGGCAGTAAGGAGGATGGTGTCTCTTTGGGTTGGAGCGGAGGCAGTCACCAATGTAGAAGTGGGGTTTGTGGTAACTGATGCCACTTCAAATATTGTGAAAGCTCTGCGTGATGGTAACCTTGTTGGTGTGCATTGTGCAGCGCACTTTATCCATCTAGTAGTCAAGTCAGCAATCCCAGACAGAAATAACAGAGTTTCCAGTGTGATTGAAAGGTGCAGGAGGATTGCTGGGCACTTCCACCGCAGTGTGAAGGCTAGCCAACTGTTGAGGAAGGAACAAGAGAAGGCAGATCTTCCCACGCACTGGAACTCTACTGTGGGTATGCTGGAGAGGATTTTAGAGCAGCAGAGGGCAATCCATAGTCTGACATCAGACCAGTACATCGTTATTGGTTCTCCACTAGGTAGAGATGATTGGACAGTGATCGCCCAGCTAGTGGCAGTCCTGAAACCATTCAGGGATGCCACTTAAGCTTGAACACTGCCAATCTGGGACAGGTAATCCCTATTTTCACCCAACTAGGGAGCAAGATGGGTGTGTTCCTTGAACACCAAGAGATTGTTCAAGGTGACCCTTTACAGCCTGATGTAGTAACTCTGGTAAGGAGGCTGAAGGATCAGCTTAAAGTTTGCCTACGTGAGCAAATTGATAATTCTCCTGAACTAATGCTAGCTTGCCTGTGTGATCCAAGGATTAAGGGAAAGCTTGCACTCAGATCCAATAGCCTAACAACTTGGAGGGAGAAACTGATCCAGAGGGTGAGTGACTGGCAACAAAAGAGGGGAATGATGTTTGAGGTAGTAGTTCAGCAGGAGGCTACGATGTCGATTACTTCTAGCAGAAGCGTTGGCAGTGGCACTACCACGACACAACTGAGCGAAGCAGCTACATTTTGGGAAGAGTTTCTTGACGATATAGTTGGACCCACTGAGAGTGCTTGCATCAGAAAGGAGAGTACTGCCTCAGAAATGGTCAGAGCGTCCTTCTTTGAACCTCCTTTGCCCCATAATGTCGACCCTCTTAGCTATTAGGATGAGAAGAAGAGTGGGTGGCCTGCACTCTCATTGGTTGCGCAGGAGCTGCTATCATGTCCGCCAACCACTGTCCCAAGTGAGCGTGTGTTTTTGGTAACTGGTAATATACTGAATCCACAGCGCTCACAAATATCACCTCATCTCATGCAGCAGATTCCCTTTCTTAATTTCAATCCGCCTAAATTGGGGTACCCTGCTCTTCACTTTGACTGTAATTGAGCTTAGGGTTTCTCAACTTTCTAATTATAGAAAGTTGGTGGCGACAAAATATCTCTTTTATTTCTCATTCCTCCTTATTCTTCCATTCTCTTTCCCCTCCTCTGGTACCTTTAAATCTCCCTTAAGGTGGTACTGGTTTCTCCCCTCTGGCTGTGTCTGACAGCGGTGTGGCAACGCCTGCTACCTCCGCCAGCACAGTCAGCTAACACTAGGGCACTGTGTTTGAGCTCTGGAGGTCCGCTCCTCACACCTGGGGATGAAACAGGTGAGTGGGTTGCTAATTGCCCACTCACTACTCTTTACCATGTTATTTCTTTCTATTTTGCTGTTGGTGGTGGCAAAAGATCTTTTTTCTCATTCCTCCTTATTATTCCATTCTCTTTCCCCCCTAAGACTTTAAATTCTCTCTAAAAGTGGCACTGGTTTCTCCCCTCTGGCTGTGTTTGACAGTGGTGTGGCAACGCCTGCTACCTCCGACAGCGCAGTCAGCTAACGCTAGGGCATTGTGTTTGAGCTCTAGGTCCGCTCCCCACGACAAAGGCCCGAAGGAGTTTGGATGCTCTGCCCTGGGGATGAAACAAGTGAGTGGGTCGCCAATTGCCCACTCACTCCTTTTTACCATTTTTGGTTACATTTCTATTTACTATTTACTATCTCACTTTTTCCTTTTTCTTTCTTTTTCACTTTCTTTCTTATGAATCAAATTAAAACCAATGCACACATAAACAATAGAACACTAAAAATCTTTAACTCACAAACGTTAGTATAACAAACCACATCCATTTCAGATCTATATTCCACTGACACTACTTCAATCAATAAGGCTGGTAGTGTTGTAAGAAATTATGACCCTCTTACAAGGATATTCTTTTAGGGAATGTGTGACAAATAAGACATAAACACAAGTTTATAATAAAATGTATTGTAAATATTCATTTAAGGATACTGTTA